TTTGACATTTCTCTTTTTCTTCCCTAGTCGGAGCGGCGAATTCTTTTCAGGTCTTCACCGATCCGCTCCTCCTCATTCGAGTGTTCTTCTTGTGAAACATAGGGTCTGCAGCTGGGGGTTCGAGCTCTCTTTAAATCCAGTTGCACAGTTTGTCTCTTCTGGAATGATTCCTGCGACGAAGAGGCCGATTGTGCGCGCCGCTGCATTTCTTCAAAAGGAACAACGTCGTCACTTGTTAGTGCGATATTGCTTTCTTTCGTGCGCTTTGCCCTCGCAGATCCCTTCCCAGGGGTCTCATCTTTCCGTATGTTACTTGTCGGCACGGCCACCCCCAAGCGTGGGCCGTAATCAGCCTTCCATGCGTCAAACGCCGCCCTGACGCCGTCGAGGAACACCTCGTCGCGCACCATGACAAGAACCATCTTCTCCCCGTAGTCACGTGGCGAAAACAGGGGGCTCGCACGTGTCTTTGGAAGCTTGAAGGCACCTAACCCGATATCCTTTGGGTTGTAAAACGTGACGTGGTTGATGGGATCGTCGGGATACCCCTGGTCGTCGAGGCTACCAAACGTGATCACAATGAACGAGACAATCAACGTCTTTTCAGCTGCATCCCACAGCAGCTCATCGTTTACCAATTCTCTATACCGAGTCAATATTTCTTTATGAATGCTTTCCTCTGTCGCCCTTACTTGAAACAGCGAGAACATGGCCATATCGACAACCCGGTATAGGTCCCGCTCATTAATGCGCTGAATGATTGACTGCGCGTTCTGCAAACGCGGATCAGTAGAGGCGGCAATGGCGTTACACACCCAATCCCCAAGTTGACAGAAGCCCACCTCATCCTCCACACAGTCCGACATGCGAATAGGATCACCGTCTGCGCCACGCACCGTGAAGTACTTATCGGCCTCGAGCAGGGCATCGGAAACCATGTAATCAGTGACCTTAACGATCCGATGCTGGTACGCGTGCTTATGCAGTTTTGCCCGGACATTAAAAATGTCCCCGAGATTCAGGGCCATCTTTTCCTCAAAACAAATTTGATACTCACCCTCGTAGCAGAACACCTTACAGGCGCTCAGTAGACGAGGAACATGTACGTCAAGAGAGGCGCGACCATAGCAGGCGAGCGAGTCTCGGAGAAAGTAGTCAAGCCTATCTACATCCAGACCATTGCGCTTGTTTGCGACAATATCCACAAGAAAACGTTTGCACGGCGGACGTCCAATGTCGGTGGGCCACGGTAACCTAGGAGAAAGCCCCGTTATGCAAAGCTCTATAAAACGGGCATCCTCATCTGTCAGATTATATTCTTCAAGATCAATATTGGAGAGAATACGACGCAGAAGACGAACTGACATTTGCTCATGATGCCACGGTGATTTCTTCCCTTCCTTTGCACGAATACGATTCACAATTGTCTCAAACAGATGGCTAAATGGACCATGCCCAATGTCGTGACAGAGCCCTGCAACAGTTACACAGAGGATATCAGCTAGTGTAATACCCAACTCTGGTTGACAAATCGCAATATGACGAACCATTTCAGACGCCAAATGCGCCACACCAATGGAGTGCTCAAAACGCGTATGTGTTGCGCCTGGATAAAGAAAGACGGTGGTACCAAGCTGCTTCAGCGAACGAAGACGCTGAAACTCAAGCGTGTCAATTATGCGGATCGCGAGTGAGGGCAGAAAGACATACTCATGAACGCGATCTTGAATGTGCTTTCCGGGGGTGTCCCCAAGACGGACCTGAGACAAAATGCGTGGCAAATTCCCAGAGTAATCGACATGTCTACGACCATCCTCATCATCCACAAAGGAACCTGCCTCCCCAAGATTATATCTCATGTTACTGCCCCGTGTGCCCAATTCCGTCTCTTGTGGGAGAGGTGTAAGATCATTGCCCTGCACACTTTTTCCCGCATGGAACGACAGTGCATTGGGGCAAGGAATAAGAAGCGTTTCATCAGCCGCATCCGAAGTAGACACTGCCACGGGGGTATTAACGAACACAGCGGCCGAACGAGGCAAAGTGGTCGCGGAAGGATCCCAGTTGCGGGCCTCGCTTACTCTTCCCTGAGTTGCACCTGGGCTCGACCACTCCCTTGCAGCAGCACTCGACCCCAGCGAATACGAAGAACCTGCCTTAAGACGGACGCTACCATCCGCCTCGGGAATAACATAGGATTTCCCACCAAAGCATTCACGAAGGCCTAGTACGCCTTGAGGAAATAATGCTTGCACCTGGCACAGCGTCATGAGACACGGTACTGCCTTGCCATCAATGTACGCCTTACCCTCCATTGCTGCACGGTGGAAAACTAAGACACTAGACGGGGAAGACTAGTAGTAGTAGTAGTAATAGAAACAGGGCTGGAGCTGATGCAAAAACGCACACACGCAAAAAAAAAAAACAAAGGATACGAGCAGTTCAAACTAAAAAAAAAAACAAAAAAGAAAAAAAACAAGAGAAACCTTTAATTCCGTCATCCGACGCTCTACCATGCCCGGGCAGCTGAAACAGCTTGGAGGAAAAAAAAAAATCATTCGGCCACTGCGATGCCGAGGAATAGATACATGTGCAGTGACAGCACACCGTGAAACACATGGCTAGCAACTAACCCTAGTATTTACGAACCAAACAACCAACTAAAAGAAAAAAAACGTTAAAAGAAGTAGAGTAACTAATTGTTGATTTGTTTTGTTCTCCTTTTTCAGGCGCCACCTAGCTAAAATATACCTGCAAAAAGGAACATGGGCCACGACAATGTGGCTTTGATTTCGGGCTCTGGTCTGTGGCAACGTCACTGAACACCTGATTAAGTACCGCGGCTAGTCGGTGCCCGGCAAGTACCAGCCGCAGCTCTGCAGCCGCCTTGCAACGCTCAAGGTAATCCTGCGTGAGTTCCACACCGTTCCGAACTCCAGGGTAGACGACCTCCACGCCAATCTTGTAGCTCTCCCCTGCCATCACAGTCACGTTTGTTTCACTCTTCTCCGCTGCTGTGGGCTTGTACGTGTCCTCTAGATAGTCGGCATACGCCCTCAGCTTCGCGTATTCCTTGCTGCTTAACGGTCGTGGCGGGTCTGGCTGCTCACCCTGGCAAATGGAGTCCCACACCGCATGCAGCTTCATCGTGGCACCACGGACTTGCACCACCTCAAGATTACCGCCCCTGTCGCCGTCTGGGTACGCAGGAGAAAACAAGGTAATGGAGTGCAGAGGCTGGTGGATGTCCCCGTAAAAGTGGGCGAGATTCGCGATGGCAAAACTGATAACGTAGGGAACCGGTTTTTTCTTATACTTCTTCAGAGTCTTTGTCAGGGACTCGATAGCAGTTTTTACATTTACCGTCGCCACAGGATCCTTATTGATGGGCACCTTCTGCGGGTTGTATGGGGTGTCAATAAAATGCCAGGTTTCCATGACATCAAGCCCAAAGGACTTGAGATCATCGGCCCAGCAGCCGCTCTGCACAAAATCAATAAACTGTGGAAATGGCCCACTGAGGCTGAGGTTGGCTGCCGCCGCCTCCACCAATGCAGCCGCGTTCTGGTTCAAGTGGCGCTTGGCAATCTCATTCACCACCATGTGCCCTTTGCACCACCACGCGTGTGTTGGCCCTGACACAACCAGCAAAGCGATTGCGACAGCAACGAGTAGTGCTGAGTTTGGGGAATTCGCCGACATGACGCTGCAAGGTTATATCTTTTTTTTTAAGCCAATGCGTGTTTCTGTTGAGGGTTTGCGTAATAGACTACGTGCCCTGCCCACGCAATCGGGAGCAAATTGAAAAGAAGAAACACACACACGCACAGAGAGAGAGAGAGAGAGAGAGAGAGAGAAAAGTAAAACAAAAATGGAACAAAAAAGTGGGGGTGGGGAGGTGGTGTACATGGAGTGCTCCCCTGCCTCGGGCAGTGGGGTTGTGACGGAGTCATAATTGCAGCAGTGTTCAGGGCAGCACCAATAACAACAAAGACAGTAATAAAAGAAGAAAAAAGAAACACACAAGCACTGAATAGAAGAAAGACTCCCCCAAAGCCTTTTCTCTTGTTATTAAGGACACGCTATTACCACTTACAGACGGCGCAGGGGGATACTTTTTTTTTTACATTCAGGGGTGAAAAAAGTAGGCACATATGAGAGTTAAAGGGGCGACGTGGCGCGTGTTGCGGGAGTGAGCGATGACATGCGCCACTCATTTCCGAAGGAGCAACAACGTTGTTAGTGGCGCTCAGTGACACCGAACGTTGTTGCCGGGACGAAGTTGTCATCATAGACCAGGTTCATCTGCTGAAACAAAATCCACACCTTTGTTATGCGGAGAATATCCATCTCACTTTGTCCAATGAACCGGAGCTCCCCCTTGGTGAGGTACACCGCCCCCTTATCGTTCACCGCCGGGGGATGGATCCCAGAAAGCAGCTTTTGGGCCTTTGCTGCATCGTTGCCGCACTTTTCCAAGGCGGTCAGCGCCTTTGACGCAATCCGTTTTACTCGCTTCTTAAGCGCAATGTACTGCGAGGGGTAGATGTAGTTGCTCTCACAGAGAGCTGCCTCGAAGCAGTTGAGGTGGTCAAATTGTGTCTCCTTTGTAATGTCAAGTTTTCCGCCCCACACAGGGTCCACGCGTACCAAGTTGGAGAGTCCGACAATCCACGCCTCGAAGTCCGGCAGGGTGTCGGCGACAATGTCGACCGTGCGTCCGCCGTCCTTCAGTCCAACGGTGAAGCTGCGGTAGAAGCTGGGGTCCGTCGGCGGGACGTGGTGGCGTTTGAAGACCTTACTGAGGCACCCCAGTTGGAGGAAGCCGACATCGTCGAGATTAATCGATGAGCGCTCTGCTGCGATTTTTGTTTCGGGGTCCGACCAAAGTAGTTTCCGTGAGTTTTGTGCAATTGAAACCCAAAAGTGACGACGGTGTGGCTTTCCGCTGCGTCCATGCTTTAGCATCACAGTTCCACAACGTAGAAATCGGATAAGGTCCTGCACGAGGGTTGGGGAGTCGTATACGCGCATGAGGTATTCATTATCACGCATAGCGCGCTTTGGCCTTTTTTGGTCAACATTCTCCACATTTTCGCCAACCTCATTCTCTTCCTTGCTTGGGCCGAGAGTCTCCGTTCCTCTTTCTTCGCGGCCACGCTCCTCCGCGTCACCATAGTCGTCCTCATTGTCACGCTCATGCGCAGCGGCAGTCCCACCTTCTGCTGGGGTCGGTGTAACTCCGTATTCCATGTTTCTCCTTCGCTGTGCTGCACTTCTGTCCGTTTCCCTAGTTTTTCCCTGCGCCGCCGCGCCCCCTAATGCATTCTTTGGGCTTTGTATCGACGGCTCGGATTCCTCGCCATGTGCGAGTAACTGTTCGTCAGCAAATTCGCCTGCGACACGACGCATGCGCGTCTCCTCACGATGGTGCGAGTTTTCCCCGTCGCTATCGTCGGAGCTGAGAAAGGTGATGTTGTGGTACGCGCTCGGAACACATGCCTCGTCTCCGCTCACCGCTGTTGTCACCAACGGCGGATACAAGTGCTCCCAGCTGCGCAGGGCGCAACTGAAGCCATCTATATCGCCCCACGAGTACTTCTGCCTCGGGCTAATTGCCCCCTCGGCGATGTCAACTGAGCGGTCAATGACGAAGTCGATGATATCGTACACCAGCGTGCCATCCATGATGATGGCAGAAGATAAAAGCTTCGCGCGGCGCACCTGCGAGCGTTGCCGCTGCGTGGCCCCCAACCAATGGGCGTATAAATCATGAAGGTGCCCAAGCTCCGTCGCGTGAGCGTGGAAGGTCTCCATCAACAGATGAACTGAGTTGTCCTCGGGCCTTTCCTCCACTGTGAGCGCCTCTGCAGGCTCCTTTGCGTCTTCGTCCAAAGGAGCCGCACACGCCGCCTCGAGTTCGCTCAGAACCCTATCCGCCTCTTGAACAGCGACAGTTAGTTCCTCCACCTTCGCCTGATTTTTTACACGGTTCTTTTTGGCCTTTTTGGCCTCCATAACTTTTTCCTCCTGTTCCGCCTTCTGTGCTTCCTTCTGTCGCTTGACCTCTTTCTTCATCTTCTTTACGGCCTGAGACACCGATTCATACTCGTCAATCATTTGGTTCATTTTCTCCACAAACGCGTGCACCTTCTCTCTCTGCTCCAACTCAATCTCCGCCTCCATGGCGCGAAGGCACTCCTCTTCCTTGCGTGCCACAATACTATCTGCGTCCTTCTGCAGCGAAGCGATGCATGTTCGGCGAGCCTGATCCACGCTAATGTTCTGTACTCGCGCCAGGAGAAGAGGACGCATTGGTTGGTAGTAGTACTCAACAGCGGCAATGCGAAGCTCGGCAGTGAGCTCCTCCTGCTGGCGCAGCGACCTAAGGTAGCGCTCCTCTTCCGCAGGGTCGAGAAAGGCGGTCACTTTGCCCGCCTTAAGGCCCTTCACGCGGTCACAGAAGCGCAAGGTCCCCTGCGACTCCTGCGCGCTCGCGTTGGGTGGGGCAATCTGACCAATAAGAAGCAGGCGTGACGCCCTGTCGACAAACGAGTGTTTAAGGAGCCTTGTCAGTTTTGACTCCCGGAACGGGATGTGGTTGCTCTCCGTGTACATGGCATTAATAGTCGTCCCAAGCGCTGAGAGGGACTTATTGATTGCCTGCGCCTCCACCATGGCTTGCCCCTCCACGCCTGACCGCTTCACCCTCTCGCTGCCCGCCAAATCCACCAACGCAATGCGGGAGCGCACAAGCCCTTTAATGGAGCCGCTAATGGGAATGCCACTGGCGTCAATCAGTTTTTCTCGCGTTGGACGCTGCGGAGAGGCTGAGAGGGGCACCTGAAAGATATCAATAAAGAACAACGCGTGTGAACGTGAGCTGGAGTCATTCAATTTCGTGGATGTAACGGAGCGGTAGGCGTTGGCCATATTAAACGCCTGCAGCACATCCGTCATTGTCAGCAATTCAATGGTGTTCACGCCTGGGGTCAGTGTCTCTTCAGGTGTTTCGCGAAGTTTTATCTTTTTTCGCCGGGAAAGCAGATCCATGACGTCATCTATATAGAGTTCAACCGCGGAAAGAAAAACAATAAGGTATTGCTGTTTTAGTACAGCATCTCTATAGGCAAATACATCATGAAACACGCGAGGAAATATACCAGCCCCCTCGGGCAGGTCCCCACCAGACATGGAACCAAGAATAGTGTATGTTTTGCCGCTGCCCGTTTGGCCGTAGGTGAGAACAGTTGTGTTGGCACCTTGCAACGCGGCATCCACAAGCTCCTGCACACACTCCTCGTAGACGTCACGCTGGTCATCACTGGTGTCGAAAACGTCGTCAAATTGGAACGTGACAGGAGCGCCGAGACCCTCCTCATTCTTGACGATGACGGAAATGCCGTCGTTGGCCCTGTAAGCGCAGAGGGGCTCAAAGCGCTCCTGCTCCAGCGGAGGGCGAATACGCACCGCCACAGTTATCCTCTGCTCCATCACCAGTTTGAGTGAGTGCTAGCTGCACGAATACGCTGCGACTACAAGAACGGCAAAAGCAACAAACAATGAGGACGAAGAAGTCACCACTACAAAAAAAAAGTAACTTTTTCTTTTTAAGGTTTCGTGATCTCCTTCTTCTTCTCTCGTTCCTTTTGCTGCCCCCGGCCCCCCACCCTTTTTTTTTTGACTTTTTGTATATAGTTTATTGCCGGGCCGCACGCGACACAGATACACAAGCGGAGCTCCCCACCAGACAATCCGGCTGTTGGGCCGCGCTGGCCCAAAACACCTCCGTGCAGGCAAATGCAACAAAAAGAGAAGGAGGAGGGGGCGCGAGGGGACGCAAATAAAAGGGGGAAACATAAGAGAATAACAGTGCATATTGAGCAGAGCACACAAAACTCGCAATAAATAAAGTGCACGGCGCAAGGAAGCAAGCATGCGTGGATGCGTGCCGTGTAGAGAAGAAGCAAAGCACCTCTGTGCCGCAGCACAGGAAAAGAAATCGAAAAGGGGAAAATAAATAAATAAGTGAAAACATAAAAACAGATGCAACAAGGAGTATATCGCCGGATGACACTAATCCCCCACCGATTCTCCCCCAAATAATTAAAAAACAAACAACTTAGCTGTGAGGATGTGACTTGCACTACGCTTTTCGGCCGCGCAGATCTGCGATGCGCTCCTGCGTGAGTTCAAGCTCGTCTGAGTTGATCAGAACAATTTTTGTCGTCGCTGTCTGAGAGTTGCAATGGAGTTCTACCTCCACGCCGGTGGCTGCGTGGCCTTTTCTCCCACGAAGGCCGACCCTCTCTGCAAATGCAGCCGCGATCCATGTCGGCGAGGTGTACCGCATCGTGTGGGCCAGCAGGGCCAGCCGCACCGTTGTACTTGGGGCAAAAAACGTGTTCTGTTCGAGGCCAATGTACTGAGGCTTGTATGCAATAACATCCAACAGCGAATCCCGTTCTCGAACAAACCCCGCGTTCACCACGACGATTGGTTTTGCCCCCACATTGGCGGAGTTGGTGTCGCTTACAAAGCTCCGTGTCGCCATCGTCAGTTGACGTGGCTGCAGTTCCACCCCGACAGCCGCCTCCTGCAGGGACCATCCAGCGCTCTCGAGAAGCCCCACATCCAGCCAAAGATTGCTGGGGTCCTCAGTCGTCTGTTGCGGTTGTGCTTCTTCGGCGTAAAAGCAAGAATGTTCGTGGGAGTTGCGCCGCGCTTGAGCGGGTTTGCAGAAATCGCCAGGCGCCAACTGCGTCGTCCCTGGGCCTTTAGTCATCTCCAAAAACGCTTCGGCAAGCTTTGCGGATAAATTCAAGGAGACAAAGCACACCCCATCCTTGGTGAGGCACTGGTGCCGCCGATGCGGTGTGCATGACAGACAATCAAAGCGTGAGGCGTCACTCGTTTGCTCTGCATTGACAAACCAATGCGAGCTGTGCTCCACGTACACTGGGGTGACGTTCGGCGCGATGGTGACCCCTTTCCATCGCCGCTCTAGGCCTTCACCCGCTAGCCAGTACGGTGATTGGAAGAGCGAGGGGAAACGCATTGAATCAGCGCCATGCTTATCACCCTCAGGCGCTGTAGGTAATGCGAAGCGCAGACGGCTCATGCCTTTCACCTTTCCCAGCAACTCCCATATAATGTCTCCAGACTCACTCACGGGGAACCCACAAGAGGCGCACGTGCAGGAGTCTACTACAGAGCATATAGGTGTGTCAGCTGCATTGACAAACGAAATACCAAAGGCGTTTACAATTCGGTTTCGATTTGTGAAATAATTCCCTCCCATCTGTGATGCTCCATTCCTCTGTGTGGTTTGCATGCCATTCATAGGGACGTGGGTGGGCGTCCGTAGCGACTGCCTCTCCATGGGCAGAGCGTTAGCCAAGAAACGTACCGCCTTGGCTGTGATCCAAAATGGTGACGGCTCTTCTGTGATGGGCCTCGCTGAGGGCGCAGTAGAAGCATCACCCACCCTCGCATTGTTGTGCCAGTCACGCAGGGCACGCATAACTGCCCAGTCCACCGCTGTAGGGAGCACGCAATTACTGATCGACAGACGCGGCTGCTGAAGTGTCATTCTTGACTTTTTCCTCTTTCACCCTCTGCACTGACTCAGCGTTTCGCTAGATGCCGGCCAGAAAGCATCGAAAGAAAAACCATGACAAGAGGGGGTTGCATGTGTAAGGGCACTTGTGTGTGTCGGAGGATGCATGAACGCACGTGGACAGCCGGTTCACGGAGCAACACCAGCAGCAAGAGAGTGTGAGCGCAGCAGAACATCTTTCTCGATCTCTTTTTTATCTCGCTTTTACACAGGACCCTCCCCCACTCATAATAATAGTAGTATATAAAAAAACACAGCTCCATATTAAGTGTGCAACATCACTGTCTGAAGAATAAAATACGGAGAGAGAAGGAGACACCTCGTTGTGGAAGGTAGTTCTTCCGCCGTGCCTCTCCCTTTCTATCGCTTTTCAGTTAACCTTCGTCGGTGGGGGCAAGGAACAGACACACTGCCCCTGCGCACACACGCATGTAGAGGCTGACGTGTAAACGCCCTACACCCCACTCCTTCCCTCTCGCTTGGCCATTTTGGAGAAGCATTTTCCTTTTACTTCTGCCGTCCTGCCTCACGGCCGCAGCTAAAGATGCGGCAGCACCAACACGTCGTAGGGCGCTCTACACCCTTTCGCTTTTACTCGTCTTTTTCCTGCTTCGAGCTTAGGGCGTCTCGGTGTTGCCAAGATTGCTTCACACCTGCAGAGATACATCTCAGACTTCTTTACATATAGTCATACACCATCGCGTTGCCGTCGTCACCGGCCGTCACCAAATGTTCGGGGGTGGCAAAAATTTCACGCACAGCGGCCGCATTGGCTCCAAGGCCGTAGCAGCACTTCCCTGTCATGGTGTCATGCACAAGCAGCCAGCCGTTACCCCCACCAGAGAGCACCAGCGGTCCAAATGTCTCAAGGGAGTAGATAAAGTCGCGGTGGTCGGTGAAGCGGTGCACTTCGGCAAAGCTTGCGCGAGGGTCCAAGGTGAGTATGACTTTATCTGCACCTGCTGTGACTAAGTACGGTGTCTCGTCAATGGAGCGGATGCCGCTAACGACGCCGCCAGGGTGTAAAACGTCTTGAAAAATGGGCTTACTACCTGTGCGAGGGAAGTCCATGACAGTGACAACGCCACCCTGATCCCCAATGGCGGAAAGGAGGCCCACACTCGTGTGAAGAAGATGCCAGAGGGACCCAATCTGCCCACGTTTGGTGGCCATTGTGGCGAGGCAGTCGCCTGTTTCAAGGTCCCACATCTTTGCCGTGCCTTGACGATCGCCTGAAAGCACCTGCGCCCCGCACCAGGAAAACATCATCACAGGTGCCTTATGCCCAGCGAGTGTCGCTAGACAACGTCCGCCGCCGCTGCCGCCGCAATCCCAGAGACGCATGGTACGATCATAACTGCTGCTGACGGCGATATTACTTGAACTGTTAACTTCCACTTGACTGACACTGCCGGTATGGCCCAGTAGATCGCTGCAGCGTACAGGTCCTGTGGCCTCCCAAAGGCACAGTTTACTGTCCATTCCACCAGAGATGATCTGGCCACTGTTTTGAAGAAACTTGCAACAAGTCACCCACTCGGTGTGACCATAATTTTTGGTGTAAAGATTTTTCTTCTCTTTCCCAGTCGTGATATCAAAAACCTTGAGTCCATGGTCCGCGGAGCCCACCACGCACAATTTATTCCTAATATGGACGTCCATGCAAAGCAGGTTCCGATCACTGGCGTTAAAGCAGCGTCCAGTTGTATCTGCAGGACCTTGTTGCCAACTTCGCGATACGGCGGATGCGTTAAAGAAGGGCTTAAACCGTGCGTATTTTCCACCTACGCCCGATGAGGAGGGGGGACACTGCGTCACTGCGCCACCGTACACATCCTCCATCAGACCCTTCATTTCGGAGGCAATCTGACGGCCGCGCGCACTTCGCGGGTTTGTTCCGTCGTTTTTGTGCAGCTCACGCACCACGGCACTCGGCCTGCTGAGGCCAGGGCGTGTAACTCCGCCTGGATTTCCATGCATTCGCCCACCGCGACCTCGGCCAGGGCTGACCGTGCGACGCTGCATTGAGGAATCAGAAGAGGACTTCTAATCCTGTTTGCTGCCTGCCCTCTGCTGTTTCTTCACGACCCCCCCCCCCCGGCGATTTTTCTTTTCCCCTCCCTTTTCAACTTCTCACTGTGTAATGATTTCACCCTTATTGAGTTTTTTTTTTGGTTGGCGGCGATTTTGGCCCGGCGCAAAAAGTGGGAAAGGGGGACAAGACGCAGCGGGATGGGACGCTCACTGTTTCTCCACACACTCCAAAAACTCTCATACGCAGAGGCGCAGCGCAGACAAAAGTGCCACGCAGAGCGGAAGCAAGAGAGACATCCCCCCGACACGTTCACGCCGCCTCCACTCAGAAATGAACTTTCCGCGCCACTTGCACCCCGGAGGGCCTTGCTTTTTTCCGCACCCCTTGACATTTGCTTTGGAGCCTCTAGGCATTCATGCTGGGCGTCCATTGGCCGCACACGGCACGGCCATCAGCTACTGCCCCCTCCTCGCCAACCAAATTTGAGTGCAAGCGTCTCGCGTCTCGTCAGTGCAGCTATACTTCACGCAAGACCGCCATCCCCAGACCCGTTGCACGCATCATTGACGGTTGCCAGCCCTTTTCGATTCATCTACTCTCAGGAAAAAGGAGTAATATTTTCCTTCGCGGCCTCCTCCTTTGGTTGGTCAAAAACAAAAAATGACTGCAAGGTGTAAACGCCTCTTCTTTGCGGCGCGCAGAACCGTGCTCCGTCCTCATTTAACTACGCGCCTTGGGTGCAGTAACATCAATGAAACAGGAAACAGAAGAGGCGTTGGGGACGCCAAGAACAGCTAGGAAAGGAAAATATAAAGCATAGACATAACATTGAAAACAGAGACCATCCACAAGGGGCACGAGAGCAGTCGCCCTCCGCCTTTAGCGGCGACGCACGGTAAGACTCGGATTCCCCCCAAGTTTTCCCTGTTATTTCCCAAACGCTTACATATATTTCCTCTTCTTTCTCTTTTTTCAACATCATTGCCTTTTTTCCTTCCCTTTAGTTTCGTCTCGGGGCACAACGCCTCATTCCTCTAGCCGCGTCACCGTGGCACGCTTGCCTGCCCCGCGTTGGGGCGCGGTGCAGAAGAGAAGGCACAGAAAAACAATGAATGGAAAAGAGGCGGGAAAAGGTCCACGACACGTTATTATCTAAACAAGCTGCTACCTCGTCGAACAAAGGCAGCCCGGTGAAATGCAGACCAGCCAAGAAGAAAAGAAATATATAAATATGTATATGCAGGTAGAGTAGAAGAAGCAGCCACCATCTTCTTCCCTCAATGCTTCCCCACGCTAAAAAAAAAATATACTTGTCTTTTTTTTTTACGTAAGTCAATGTATGTTTCTGCGTGTCTATGCGTTTTGTTGGCTGGCCTACTAAAATAAGTGCATCTAACAGTAATAACAATCGATTAGGAGAACATCGCACAGGGTGCGTGTGCATTCGTGTACATTTATTGTCTAAATGAAGGGAGTTTCTGAACGAATATATATATATATATATATGTATGTTCGCCGTTTCCACTTTTCGTTTTTGTTTTCTTGTCTAGCAACGTTTCCCGCCCTCCACGGGGAAGTGCACGCAGATCCATTGCGGGTGTGTGGTGCTAGTAAGAGGGGGGAAGGACACCGGTGGTTTTCAGTGCAACGAAAACAAAGCACACACACGCACCGAGGGAGCGAGAGAGTTCCTCCCTCTTCTCTGAGATCGTTACGTGGAGGAGCGGCGACGGAGAACAACTTCTACACCAACTTGGGGCAACCGTGCACGAAGTTGCATACTTCTTCTGAGTGGTGCGAGCGGGCGGGGCAGCAGGAGCTTCCCGCGACGTCGCGGGCACACAGGGAAAGCCTGCTGTCGAAGTCAACAATAATCAAGCGAGATTGCACCATTTCCATTCCGTTGCGGAGGGAAAACAAAGGGGACAGAGTAAGACTGCGTGTCCACCTGCGGCAGCTCTTCTTCAGCTGTTTACTCTGCTTGGCTTTCCCTCACCCTCATGGGGCACACACACGCACGCACAATTTCGGTCCACAGACGCAGTTTTCTCTCCTTTCGCTTCCTCTCTCCGTTCACCTTCTATGCTCGCTCTAAGGAATCAAATCAAACCATCACTTCAGTTTGATTTTAGCTTTCTTTTTTCTTTTCTTTATTTCTCTTTGCGCTGCATCCTGTGAAGTGCGTAACGCCTTCACTTCACGATTTAATGGGCTTCACGGGCGCCACGCGCCTGCCCCACCCCCATTCTTTCTCTGCGCATACAATGCGTGCACTTATGTGTCTCGCATCTTCTTCCATTTGTGTGCTTCCTCGCTACTCTGTGCGTGTGATGCCCTTCAGGAAAACTTTCGTCCGCAGCGTGAACTGCAACATGCGCAAGAGTCTGGATATGTTCGGTTGGCTGCTTGTCCCCTCCTGCGGCTGGATGGCGTAGTAGACAATGCAGATGCTCCGATCAAACGTGTAGCAGACATCCACAAGTTCGAACGGTAAGTTAAGGAAGCGGAACTGCTTGCAGCACTCCACAGTGGCCTTATCACGCGCGGTTCGCAACTCTTGCAATCGCTCGGCGTCGGTAGCAATGGTCTCACTTACCTCGCGGAGGATGCTTCCATCGTACAGCGCCGACCTCGGCACCGCCCCGGTGGCCAGGTTGCCATCACTGTGGTGGCGTTGCAAATACACACAGACACCGGCATCTTCGTAGGCGACGTTGCCGTACGGACTACGGCTGCTTTTGATCGCTGCAAGATAGCGGCGCCCCATGACCGGCAAAGGTTGGGAGGGACCCACCTGAAACCGCATAACCACTCCGCGCGCAAACTCGAGGATGACGTAGTCGCAGGTCTGAGGAAGAGACAAGGGCCTTTTCATGGGTGCGACCGTAGCCGCTGCAGGCGGCGATACCACCTTCACTGGCTTTAGGGCGGTCGGCCTTGGTCGCGAGGAGGGAAAGAGTGGCGCAGAAGCGAGCGAGTCAAACCCAGAAGGGAAGTTGCCATTATCAGCAGTGGTGGGACCGTTGCCTTTGACGCCGCTCTTCCCTTCGGATGTTGCTGGTCGCAGGAGAAGATGCAACTTGTCGATGGGGACACGTCGTCCACTGACGGCAATAAGAGAGGTGCTACTGCTCGCCACGCGTGTCACTTTTTGACGCTTTTCGTTGTGAGGGTACGCCGGCGGCGGGCCAGTGCGTCGTACAGCGTGTTGCTCTTGCGCAGGCTGCGCATTGGCAGGCGTCGATGATGACGGGGGCGGGGCGAGCTCCTGCTTTTCCAGCAGCCATTGTTGTGGAAACTCCTCTTGCAATGGCTGCAAGAAAGGCTGAGACTGTGTGACACTGCGAAGTGCTTCCGATATGCAGGGTTTCTTAGTTACCGGCTCTTCCATCAGGTCGCCGTCGTCTTCGTCACTCTCCGGTAAGACGCCTCTTGGCAGCAGCGTTGATTCAAGACTGGTATTCGGGGTGTGGAGCATCGACGGTGGAAGAGGCACTGTTGCTCCTTGAAACAGCTCACAGAGTTTGCTCTGCTGAGCAAAAGGCGTGTCCGCGGCAGCCTGAGTGAGATTCGTCACGGCATCAACGCATTTCCATCGCTTCACCGGGGTAATAAGGCAGCTGGTCTCCTTTACATCTCCAGCACTGTTCTCCGTTAGCAAGGAGGCATCCAAAATATTCGTATTGGTTGGAAACAGCGTGCCAGCGCACGGTGGTCCTGTGGCATACTTATTGCCAGGTGTTAAGCCCGTGTGGCTTGTGCGCTGGCGATTTGTAATGGGTGTGCAACAGCAGCTGGTAAGAGAGTTGTTGTGCGGTTGTGTGATGCCAGTATTCTTCCAGCTGCTTCTGCAGCCCCTACCACCCTCGTTTGAGGACTTTCCAAGACGAGCGGGAGGGATATTCTCCTTGTTTTCGGAGCTAAAAATACCCGTGTTTGTGATCTCCTGCAGGAAAGGCGAGGACAAGCTGAAGCACGATATCGGATGCTGATGTGTCGCCTCCATTTCAACCTGCCTTCCACTCTTCGCCAGGAATTCCACTCGTTTCGTCTTTCCCCGTCACTCGTCTCCTCCTTCGTGGATTTCAGCGTGTAAGGGTATATATATATATATATGTTTTAATTAATTTATGTCAATGTGTATGTGTGGGTGTGGGTGAGATCTAAACGCCTATCTATCTATCGGCCTTTCCTCTCGCTCGCCGGGCGTGTATGGCTCCGCGTTGTTTATGCTACACCCAAGCCCAAGGCAGAAGAACGGAAAAGGGTGCCATTGTTCACATCAAGTACAGTAAACCCTAGACGGTGATGACGCAGGAAACAGTAACGTACACGAGAAAGTAAAAGAAGAAGCACTGCTTGCTATTCAATTGCACATTACACTACCCACTCTTCATGCATATATATATATATATATGTCTTTGACGTGTGATTCTCTTTTTTAAAAATTATTATTGTACTGCGTCGTTTTATTCTCGTCTCCGCCTTGTTAGCCGTCACCTTCACTGATAGCGCAGAGAGAAGAGGTTGGCATGCAGTGGCACCGGGGACGTGTGTGCGGGGTAAGGGGGAAAAGGGAGTAATAAGCGCCTCGACGCATACGCGCATGCCCCAATAGAAGGCCGCAGCAGCATTCTTAGCCAGGAGATAAAGGATAACCCAAACCTCCACGAAGAAGCTGCGGCAGATAGACAGGCGCAGTGAGAAACAAAAAGAAATGAATGAGGTGGACGCGACCCGAGCAACACAGGCCCCCTTTTTCCTTCATGGGCTTTAGTCAAAGAATCCGTTGCTCATGCCCTGCTTGACCTGGCGCCGTATCTTCTGCTTCTGTCGCCCCTTCTGCACGTTGCGATGCAGACCCAGATTGAACTGGTGGTTGTCCTTCTGCCGAAGGTTACGCCGCACCTGCGACCGCACGTAGTTCTCGTTGACGGTGCCGTCCGGATTAAAGTTCACGTTCTGCTGCAGCTGCCGCTGACCACGCCTCTCAACGGCCGCCTCGTCAACCGCCTCGTCAAGGGACCGCGCCACACTACTCCCCACATCATCGTTGTCATCACAGCCACTAGCCTCACCCTCTTCTACTTCCCCCTGCTGCTGCTGCTGCTGCTGCTGCCGCCGCCCTCCACTTTCTCCCTCAACGCCATCAGCTTCATCTACCTCGCACGTCTGTGCACCAGCTGCAGAGAGGGCTACCACTGGCGTCGTCCCTGCGGGAACCGGTGGGTCCGCCGCATCCTCCTCAGAGTCTTCAGCGTCAGCCTCATCGCACGTTGTCAGCTGAGTTTGCAAAAGTCGCTCGAGATCCTGTTGTTGCCTGCTGCTGAAGCACCCGCTGGCGAAGACCACGCGATCCAGTTCTGCCTTGCGCTCCACGTCCTTTTCAAGTGTTGGGTAAAAGAGTGTCGTCAGTTTAAAGCGGCGATGGAAGAAATTCGCAAGATTCTCCACGTCTCGACTAAATAATTCTGCTGCGTTGGGGTGATTCGTTGAGACCATTTGCGGAAAGTCAATCACGATGACGCGCATGTCCTCCGTAATCATGAGATTAAACTCGTTGAAGTCACCATGTACGAGGCCGTGCTCGCCGAGTTTAATCATGAGCTCCAGCGCACGCCTGTAGACCTTCTCCGGGTCGCCTAGCGCAGTGATGTTGTTTAGCAGCGTGCCGTCCACCAGCTCCATCAAGAGTGCGTGGCGGTTCTGATCGATTGGTTTCGGGACGGGGAAACCCTCGTCGTAGAGGGTCTTCATGAAGGAGTACTCCTTCTCCGCGGCGAGGCGGGAGAGGTAAAACCAGCTCTCACCGTGGCGGGTACGGCCACCGCCTTTGTAGTCCCGGTTGCGTGTGACACTGCGAAAACTGCACCGCCCGAGCCGCTGCAACTTCAGCACACACTCGTTGCCGGCCTCGTCCTTCACGAGAATAATGTCGGACTCTTTGCCGCAGCCAACGCGGTGCCCAACGGCAGCGACGGTGCCGCGTTTGCACAGGGTGCGCAGCGCCAAGTAGTCGTACGCACCGTACTTCATGGCGTAGCCGTCGTACATGGTGTTCTCGTGGTGAATCATTTTGTGCTTCAGGAGGCACTTCAGGCGCTTGCGACAGCCACCGTGGGGGAGCTGTGCGATGCGTTCAATGAGGGCCGTGGGGGCAACGTCGTGGTTTCGCATCGTCATCTCGAGGGCCGTGAGGACGCGAAAATCCTCCTCCTCCAGAAATCGCAGCAGCGACACATCGAGTTTCACCATTATTGTCCCCTCCCAGCGCCTCTACACTCGCTCCTTCACGCTCCCGCTCTCTCCCTGTGGGCGCACCTGCAGGCAGTCAACGAAGAAAAGGGTGGGCGGAGGTGGCAAGGCGAGGGCAGGGGGGCACGCGCCGCAGACAACACAAGGGGCGACGGGCAGCAGCAGCGAGAGGACGGGTGACGGGAAGAGGGAGAGAGCAACAGCGACGACGAAAACAAGGCAAAAAAACACGCTCACACCGAAAAAAAAAGAAGGGTTCAGACAGGCGCAGAAGGCACGCGCCGCAGTCGTCGACAGCACGACGGCACGCCACCACCGCGCAGACGGCCGACGCAGCCGTCGAGAATATATAAGTGGGCTGGGCGGGGGGAGGGGCGGGGAAGCCACTGAATCACCCCCCACACTGTCCAGCAGCCCCCCCCCCAAAAAAAAAAAA